AATAAGGGAACCTTTGGCTAGCACACTTAATTGCCCCCACTGAGCTCCAGGTTCTTTCCCTGCATCCGGAAGGGGACTCGCCTCATTACTAGGCTAAGTAGACCTTGGTCCCCCCTCACCACCATACTCGATGGCAAAGAGGGATAGGCGTGAATAGGGATTCAATCAAGGGCCAACAGGGCACGAGGATCTATGGAGATTTCCTAACTACATTAATTGCTAACCACTTGAGCCACCGGCCTCCGGCGGTGATATTTTTGCTGCTTGTTTGGTCATGAAAGCAATATTTTCTAACTACATTAATTATCCATTCACAAACAAAACAGTTATTTCAAATAAATGATAGAATGCCAACTGTCAGAATAGCCCCGGATACAAGTTTGTTGTTCTCGGCCGCTCAGAGAACTGAAGCAATGAAAGTCTCCACATTAAGAACGGCCTTGCGGCCTGTTCTCATAAAAATTTGTGCCTTGAATTCTGCACATTCTTTTCTACCAAGATAAGATATAACCCTGCACTAAGTGATAAATGAATTTTATTGAATAAGTGAATTCTCCAGCGGAGAGTTTGGAATCCAAGAAGAACTGCTCTCTACGCAAATAGTAACAAATTCCTAATGAGCTAGCTAGCTAGAAAAACCACATTAATACTACCTGAGGTCGCGCCTTTGGACTTACAAGAAAAAAAAAGAAGTAGATATTATGAACAATAATAACCTTCAAAACTCCTCCTTGAACCAAAGGAGTCCACCCTAAGTTGCTGCCGGAACGCCACTATAAAAGCCTCAGCCCTCGCGTTAAGCTCCTCGGCATCACCACCCTCGTCGACTTCTCGGTCATGTAAATGATCCTTCGTCTCTATTTTCAAACTCGCCGTGCTGCTCTTCTTCTTCTTCTTCCCCTTCTCCGTCTTCTTCCTCTGTGCGGTACCTCGGCGATGAGAATGACAGTAATAGCGCTCGTTGTTTGGTTGGATCGTCGATGTTATGACTATCGACGCGATGATGACATGCAGAAGCAGGAACAGAAGCGGCGAAGGAATCGCAGCGAAGCTCACAGACCATTTGATCTCAATCAGCGACAGGATTTTACTGAGGACCGACACAAGCAGAGCTGCTCCGATCAGGACCAGGGCAGCCTCGACGATCTCCTCTTCTCTTCTCTTGCTCCTCTTTTGTCCTTCCATTTTTTGTTGAGCTAAGTTTTTGAGACTCTCGTTCGCCGCACCTATACATATATATAGTAAGACTTGTGATGTTGATTTGGAAAAAAGACCCTGGGGTTTGGGATTAATTACAGGGGGATGACACTGTCGGCTGCTTGTCGCGCCTAGGGAACCGGCCAGCCATGTTAATTACAGTTAGGATTGTGTCGGAGCGCGCGCGGTTGGCATCGGTGGAAGCAGACCCAAGTTCACGCCACGCGCGTGCGGGGGATCAGCCCCACTCACAAACACAGGATGCAGCAAACTGTCAAATGAATGATTATGAATTGAAAAAGAAGGGCACAATTATCTTAGAAATAACTTTGAACGATACATATTTTGATCTAGGTAGAAATTATGAAATTATGGTGAGCATTTGAGTATTGTAACAATAGTACAGATTTCTAATTAAAAAGCATAATAATCTACTCTATGTTAATTTTTGTACTGAAATATAAAATTTATTTATTAGAGAAAAGCAACACAAACATTTGGGAAAAATGTGTTCATGCCCTAAAAACAGAAACTTCATGTGACGAGGCCCCTTGTATTTTCCCCCATGTGGATAAGCCCCAAATGTGCACAGTATTTGCGACGAGGCCCCGAAAAGACCTTTTTTCAGAAAAGGCCCAGCGGAAGTTACGATCGTGCCCCTCTGATGGGACTGGACTCGGTTAATGCGCCACAGCCCTATTCAAGTACCCTCCCTCTCTTTCTCTCTCTTCCATCGCTTAGGAGCCTCAAAAACTCTTCATCATTCTAATTTATGTTCGGATTTCAACAGTTCTAGGGTTTTCGCCGAAAAAATGTTGTCCATTGAAGGATCTGTTAACGACTACGAGGTCGTTCAACGAGACGAGTCGATAGGCAAAGACGGTTCATCTGTGGTTGGCAGTGCAGAGGAAGCTACTCTAACCCTTATGCAAATGCAAAAGCAGGCAATAAAATGGCGAGCCCGGAAAAGAAGAACGACATTGGCTCGTCGTACCAACGAACCCCCCAAAAAAACAGTAAGTGCTATGTTATCCAGTATTTGGGAACTTGAACTAATTTTCCCTAATTTCAGTTCATCTTAAAAAATGCTAGGTTTTACCACAGTATTGTTAGTTCTAGTCTGAGTCAACATGAGTTCTAGTTTGAGTCCAATGTTAGTTCTAGTTTGAGTCCAATGTTAGTTCTAGATTGAGTTCAATGTTAATTCTATAACAGTACGCGTTAGTTCTATTATATTCCCATTAGTGTTAGGTCTAATATGAGTTCATAGGTCTTATTGAACTTACAAATTCGAAATCTTTTTGCAGAGAAAAAGTTGCTCTTACAGGTGCGACCGTATCACTAAGGTTAACCGTCAATATCGGGGCCTATTAGGAATTCATGAAGCGAATTGCCCCGAAGATTCGTCAGTGGCATAGGGATGCATACGGTGGTTCTATATTTGAGCATTATATTTTATTTGGGGCTCCTACGCCTGATCGGCCCACACTTGAACTGCTACTGAGCTATTTTGACGGAGATAATAACACATTTTCTATACCTGATTCAAAAAATGGGTGTGTGAAAAATGTTAAATTTGATTTGCAATGGGTCCATAACCATACTTATTTCCCAATTTATGGTGAAGTCATAAGTATCAATCGGGACTCAAGAAGCGGAATATGGATGCAATACTTTGCTAATCTTTTCATTTCTGAAGAGGGTAAGAAGTTAAAAAAACAGAAACCACCCAACATAAACACCTCGAAGGGCCACTGAAAAAGCTAGTGGAATCTACAGAAAAGCGGGATATCTAGGATTTTGTTCTGCTACAAATCATGTACCAATGCTCTATGATATGGAGGCCCAGAGTCGGGGAAGGTATCCCTAGACCCTTACTCAAGTGCATGAACAGCATTGAGAGGGTTAATTCTGTTTCATGGGCCCAGTTCTTTTATGATGAAATTATCAAGGGCATTGGAGTTGCTTTGGGAGGAAAGGAGAAGCGAGGGGTCACATATGTCTCATGTTGCATAACACTATTGTGTGTAAGTTCCATATTTTACTTATCTTGGTTCATTCTAGTTCTAATTTGTGTCGTGTGAGTTCTAATTATGCCATGTTAGCTCTAATCTACACCATGTTAGTTCTATCGCTGCCATGTTAGCTCTAATCTACACCATGTTAGTTCTATCGCAGATTTTGTTAGTTCTAATTTGTGTCGTATGAGTTCTAATTTATGTCTTGTTAGTTTTAAGATATACCATGTTAGTTTTAGCTGCACCCATGTTAGTCCTAATATAGGTCATGTTAGTTCTACCTGGGCTCATGATGGTTCTAACATAGTTTATGTTTGTTCTAATTAATGCCTTAGTCCTAATTTACACTATGTTAGTTCTAGCTGCACCCCATAGTTTACTCTCTTTAGTGTAGTCTAGTATTATTCTAAATGCTAAATATATTTGCTACAGTTTTGGTACTACGAGATGACCGACATAAAGAAATATGCCCTCGTAGACTGCTCCAGACCTCCAATGACAAATTGGGTACCAGAGAACTAAGAACTTCTCAATAGGCTATGTAAGTATCCTGTTATGTTAAGTCGTACTCATTTCACACCAACTGCAAACAATATCCTAATTATGTGTAATCATTTCACACCAACTGCAAACAATATCCTAATTATGTGTAATCCTACTTTAAATTATAATCTCTTATTAATAACAGATCCTGCAAACAATATCCTAATTATGTGTAATCCTACTTTAAATTATAATCTCTTATTAATAACAGATCATGGCAAAGCATATTGACGTTGGTTTCAACGATGAAGAGGAGATCAATGTTCTTCCCATTGAGCAACAACTTACATTTTGAAGAAATTCTGTTAAATTTCTCAAATGACTACTAGTTACTACAAAGCAGAACAAGAGTACATATTATAAAGAATTCATGATAGAGATAAACAGGCTAAACAGGATAATTAAAAAATTTGGAAGACATGATGAGGTTATAGACCTGGTGGTGCTGAAGGCGAATATCAAACAGAAAATTGCAAATGAAATGAGAAAGAAGCGACGGGTAGCTCAAGAGGAACAAATGTCCAAAACAAGCAGTGTATATAAGGAAGACCCCACCATGCAAGAACATGTACATAAGATTGTTGAAGAGGATGTGAAGTATCCTATTGACGACAAGGTTATAGAAGAGGAGCATGTTATTTCAGAAGGGGAGAATGTAGATAGTAAGGTTGACCTAAATATAGATAGTAAGGTTGAGGATAGTGTAGATCTCAAGGTTGAACATGTAGATAAGGAAGAGGAGCATATTCAACATGAAAATTTTATTATAGATAACAAAGGTTTTGATGAGGATCCTGCTGATGGTGTATAAGGAGGAGGATATCGTAGATAAGGAGGAGGAGAATCCAGATAAGTTGGAGGAGTATGTTGATAGAGAAGAGGAGAATGTAGATAGTATGGTTGACGCGAATGTAGATAGTAAGGCTGAGGATAATGTATATATGGAGGAGGAATGTAGATAGTAAGGCTGAGGATAATGTATATATGGAGGAGGAACATGTGGATAGGGAAGAGGATCATGTTGAACATGCTGAGGATAATGTATATATGGAGGAGGAACATGTGGATAGGGAAGAGGATCATGTTGAACATGAAAAGGCTATTGTAGATAACAATGGTGCAGATAACAGTCAGGTTCTAGGCAAAGTTATAGAGGGGTTGGAAGCACAGGAAGAAGAGAATCTTGTGAATATTAAATATGATGTGGACAAACTTCTAGAAGTTCTAACGACCAATGTGGAAGCAAAGGGTTGCCCACAGCCAAGAAGGGTAAGCAGGAGATCTAAATGGAAGAGGACCCCATACACTGAAGGAAAAAGAAAGAAAAAATTGAAGTAGAAATACTTGAAAGTCCTGAAAATATAAAACTAGTTGACAAAGTTACTCATTTTTACCCCGGTAATCAAATCCCCACTTGGGATGTGTTGAGCTTGAAGCCAATGACACATGATGAGGTAGATCTATTGGGAGAGATGATTAAAGAGATTGCAGACCCTATATTGTTTAACATACGCATAATAGATATCATAAGTGCTTTTGTACATAATTTAAAGATACCATTTGTAGTAGCAGCCAGACTCAACAAAGCTCAAATCGATAGGCTAACCAAATTTTGCTCTCAGAAGATTCACAAGTAAGTTTCAGTTGACTATTTATATGCTAATTCGTCACATATTAGTCCTAATTCATGATAGTTCTAATTTTCAGGAGATATAATGTTATAGTAACATCCAACAACAGTATTAACAGAGAAGAGTTGTTATATTTGTTTCGTGGCGGCCGGCTTGACGAAAAGGTTAGATTATACATGCTTAATAATTAAAAATATCTTGTTTAAATTGAATTTTAATGTTTCATAATATTTACAGATGGAAGAAGCAGTATTGGACACACTTAACCAAGAGGCATATGACAAAGGATATGGAGTCGTATCAATGTTCTTTCTTGTAAGAACATGCTATTTCTAAATTCACCCTGTTAGTTTTGATTGAAATGCATGTTAGTTCTTGTTGGATTCATGCTAATTATACCATGAGTCATGTTAGTTCTAGTTGGCGTCAAGTTAGACCTACCATAAGTCATGTTAGTTCTAGCGCAGTTCGTGTCAGTTCTAGTTTATGTCGTATTAGTTCTAATCTGTGCCATGTTAGTTCTATTCTTTGGTGTGTTAGGTCTAACTCATACATGTTGTGTTTGCAGCACTCACTCTATGGCTTCGAGCCGAGCAATTACGAGCTATATTTGACATATATTGACAAATATACTATATTCCGCAGTGAGCATCTGTTGATCCCTTTGGTCAAGGACGACCATTGCCATCTTGTTGAAGTTGATTTGAAAGATAAAGTCGTCAAGCATTACAATTCTGTTGGGCACGAAGCTTGGATGGAGCCTGTTAATAAAATCATAAACTACTTTGATGCCCATCATGTT